AGGAGACTGTGAGATTTAGGCCTCCCTTAAGCATGAAAGCCAGCTGCGTGACTTTGGTCCAGTCACTCTCTCTCAGCCCAACCCAGCTTACAAGGTTGGTGTTGTGGGGAAAACAGGAGCAGGAAGGAATATTAGGTATGTTCACCACCTTGAGTTATTTATAAAAATAATAAAGGTGGGTTAAAAAAAAAATCTAAAAAAAAAGAGTAAACTATAACCAACTATAACCAAAAAGAGACATAAAGAAATAAGGATAATTGAGATGGAGGTAGAACAACTCACTCTTTATTCTATTTCATCCTCTCTGCCCTCTGCTTTCTATCATTCTAGGCATTCAATGATTGCAAGATTTTCAGTCAGCCTCTGACATTATATTCTATTCACCAGCAATAGATTCCATTTTTCTCCCTTTCTGCTTCCTCTGGTCCCTTTGTCCTTTTCCAATGACTCAATATTTTGTGTCTACTGCATATGTGTGCCTCTGTGTAATAAATCCAGACCTTTAAGCATGTGAAAATCATTTTTGCTTTCTCCAGTGTGCAGTTCCTGAAGGTATTTCCTCAGTCATATCCTTGTTTGCAGAGTTCCCAATTACACAGTTAATCCATGGTGTAGTGCTTGCTCAAGCATAGGGTCTGTCTATTCAGTATTTATTTATTTCGATTAGATCTAAGCTAATTATTTAGATTAGGAGATCTGCCCAACTTCCAGATGACTCTGGGTGACTTATCTCCAAAGACAGGGAAGAATAAAATATTTGCTTCTATTGGTAACAATAAAATAAAAAAAGAACCATACACATTTGGGAGGGAAAAAAATGACAGCACACGAAAAAACCCAAAATAATAATTTTTAGGAGCTCAGCAAGCACCCTAGCCCCAAGCCTGGGAACAAAACCAGGTCTTCAAAGGCCTACAACTAATTGGGATACTGTTGGTATATGACACCAGAAAAATTATCTAGAATGTATAAAGGTACTTCAGATCCATGTTGGAAATATGAATAACAAGAAGGATCATTTTATCATGCATGGTGGACAAGCAAAAAAGCTAGAAGATTTTGGATTCAAATGCATACACAGATTCAGAGGATTTTATAGATTAATATACAACTGAAAACAGAACTTTTCCTCTTGGGACTGATGGATAAACAGTTGGAAAAAAGTCATGGAACTCTGTTTTTATATATGGTAACCACAGTGAGATTGTTGTTATTGTTCAGTCGTTAAGTCGTGTCCGACTCTTCGTGACCCCATGTACCATATCGCGCCAGGCCTTCCTGTCCTTAGCCTTTTGACATTGTCCATGGGGTTTTCTTGGCAAGGATATTGGAATGGGTTGCCATTTCCTTCTCTAGTGGACCACATTTTGTCAGAACT